CAGTGCACTCTGTTCCCTCATCCAGGTCATGAATAACATGCTTCACAAAAATGTAAATCTTTTGATGTCTGAGAAGCGTGAACAAAAGTTTTACCAGAAGGACTGTGAAGCTCAAGAAATTATAGCACAGAGTTGGATCAAACTGATTTGTAAAATTCTGTTCTCCAAGTCCTAACTTGCCATGTCGCCCATCTCCAAAAGTAAACATGAGGCCATTCTCTGTATATAGGAAAAAAAAAAAAGATGTTATTAATAACAAAGATTCAGGACAAAACTAGGGCAAAATCATTACAAACAAAATAACAGGCCATGAAAATAAAAATATGTTTCTTCCAAAAGCAAAATCTGAACAATTATTTTCAGATTTTCAACAGATTAATACAATTCAAAAAATATATATATTTTCAGACAAAGTACTGCCAGAGATTAGCGTTAGTCTAGACAATTTTAGAAAAAAACCTGCAACAACAAAGCACTAGATTGAAATTGTATAGCAAAACAAAGGCTTCTAAACAAGAACACTTTTTACAAGGCATGATTATGAGCTTACAATGCCCCAGGAGATACCATGGACAGAACTATGCATGGCATGGCTGTGAATCAAAAATTCCTAATATCAAATCTGGCTTTCTCACTAGCTCACCCCTTCAGAACTAGTAAATCTGCACATGTCTTCATCTACTGCTCATTTTATAAAGAAAGCTTTTACAGTATAATAGAGAGTGACTGGAAGTGCATTTCAGAATTTTTCACTTACATTACCTGCAATTACAGCAGTATGATTTTCCCCACATGTAATGTTACATATTCTATGCCTCCTCAAGTGTTTCACAGACTTTGGTACGGAGGTTTCAAAAATAAAAGTACCATGTCCCAGCTGCCCATACTGCCCAAGTCCAAAAGTATATACATCTGTCTCTGAAAATGTACAAGCAAAGTTAACAATAAATATGCTGATGTATACATTATAACCTGCTTTCTATTAGCCAAGTGAAAGTCAAATGACATCAGCATCAAAACCCAACATTTTATCAATTAAAAAATGTACCGACTAATCAATTAAATTTATCAATAACAAAGTAAAATAAAATAAAAACCAGACAATGAAGCACTAAAATATATACAGAAAAGAATTTTGAATGGTTCAATATGCAATATATTTTCTAACATAACTGCAAAACAAGCCACTGAACACATGTACACAAAGTATCAGCTAACAAAAAATTTATGGGAGTTTACATACTGCAATTAATTCAAGACCACAGTGTTTACATATATGTGCATTTTCAAGGCAAATAGTCTCATCTTAATTTCTGGTTACCTGCATGTACACTGTATGACCCTAAATTTAATAGACTAGACCTCTTTACATTTGTGTGTAAGAAGAGACTGGAACAATAACAGAATAGGCTTCAGTATTCTGTTTGGCTACTAAATCAGCCCTGCATTAAATACAGAGAACACTATAATTGTGTTATCTTGTGACAGAATAATAATCTTTCCACATTAACATTTTGTCCATTTCATGGATGTGTGTCTGGACGTCTGTGCCAGGAAAAAGAATGAGAGCTTCTCCAAAGCAATAAAGATTCTTGGTGTGTCCATCCCTGGCACTCCATCACAATAGAAGACTGTGAAGCTTGTAAATCTTTATGAGATCATGCTTGAAAAGGGTAATTCAAAGACTAAGGTTTTTTGGGTAAAGGAGAAAATTTTCCTGGAATTTTATTCCCTGCCCCTTCTTCTTCTGCACGTAGGCAACAAAGGAAAAGCTAGAGAAGTACTAATTAAAACTTGAAAAATTGTTAGAAAACCCTGTGAAAGATTGAGAGACAAAAAATATTCTGTGCCAAGCAAAAAGAACCAAGACTCGGGAGCAATTTACCATTACATCATTGTCATGAACATGGTGCAGAGCACGCCTGCTCCTGCTGCCTAGATGCCGTCAGGTCAAGAAATCTCACCACCTTCTAAAGCAAGGGAGGAATGGGTATCTGCAGCTGAATGTGTGGAATGACAATCAGCTGAGAATCTTTGCTTTTTGAGCACTTCTCTGTGTCAAGGAAACCAGGTCACTGGAACAGCAAAGTATGTTTCAGTGCCACAGAAGTAGTTTATCTTGCACAACCAAATTCTCTGAGAAGCCACAAACTAGAGAAATATCAAAACCAAATTACGTTACCATTCCCCCAAACTAATCCTTCACTACTATCAGGGAAAGAGAAAGCAGAGAACAGACCAGATTCCATATTACTACCACAGTACACTTACTAACTTACATTGAACTTTCCAATTTCAATGGAACCATGATGAAATACTGTAACACTATGTATGGAAATATTCTTTCTAGGAAAGGATTTGCCCTTTCTGGCCCTTTTAAATTGTTCCATATAAACATGTGATGAATTCACACCATTAAAAAAAACCCAAATGATCTCACACTTTTTCAGACTGTAGATGAAAAATACTGAGTAAAGCTGTTTTTTTTTTCACTAAATGTAATAGCAAAGCTCCCTCTGCTGGAAATTTTAGTGCAAGAAAGCAACACCTCATGATCTTTAAAAAGCAAAACAAGTAAGAAATTTTCTGTAACGTTTGGACTTTCTGCATAAGAAACTATTCCTGCAAGAGAGGATCTTTCTCTAAGCAAACCAAAGTCTCATCTTCATTTTAGTAAACGTCTTTCTCAGGATGGCTTATTCCATAAATTCTGTTTAGCAGTACTGCGTTTGTCTTAACGTTTCTTTGGAAACTGGCCTTGTAATTTTCAAATTATACAGCTTTATTTGCTTAACATAATTATTTTGAGTGAAGTTGGAGTTTTTCCACATTATCTTAAATCCTGGCTTGAAACATGCAATGCCTTTTGCATTTGGGTTCAGAGGGAGATGTTCTCAAATGCTAACTTTAAAAGTACAGGAAACTATTTTCTTTCCTCTGTTTGTATTGACAATGAGGAGAACGGGCCAATCCAAAACCAGGTTAGAGTGCCTTTGTAAGAAGAATGGTTTCTTCTCCTGAACCCTAAAGATCAGGGGCACCTAAATTTTGCTCCTGCCAAATTTGCTTATTAGGCAGCTATCAAGGCATAAGAAGACAAAAACCTTGCACATTTCTTAAATGATTCACCGCTCTGGTGCAGAGTGAGGCCAAATCTCAGTAATTATCTCATTTAGCAGAAATTAGATACTTCCTCCAATCTGTCTTTATAAACACATGGAAAGAAAAGTCTATGGCAAAGCAACCTCATAGACTTAGTGATAAAATGAGAGAAGTGGATTTCATCATTCTGAACTTGAATTTGCCTACAGCATGAACCCAAAAGGGGACACCACCTCACTGTCACCTTCTTCTTACTGTCCTCAGTCCCAGTGAGGATATGGTTGGATGAAACAAATGAAATGCACTGCTAGCAAACAGGTAGATTCTGCTCCCCCATTCTCTCTGTTCAGTCCCCACTTGCACGGTCTCTGCTGTCCACCTGGCTACGTGCTGAGCCAGCTCAGCTCAGTAAGCGAAATGCCCTTAAAGGATGATGATAAAGGATGTCAGAGCTTGCACAGAAGCCAATGGCTTCACTGTTCCAAGTGACCTTCAGCACTTGAGTGCTGGGACTGCTTCCTCTTTACTTCCTACATTTTCTTATATGGATGAACAGGCATATTTCCCTGTAACTGTCTATCTTCCACCTCTGCAGGCATCTTCTGGAGTATATAACAGCTCTTTAATCTCCAGGACCGTTGTCACCATAAATAAATAGTCCTAGGCAAAAATCTCTATACCTTTCAGATTTTTTTTAACACATGCTACTTGCTTAAAGAACTGAGTGAGCTCCAAGAGTGCTTTAAATTAAGATTCATGCATTCCTTGCTATGTATTTAAGGCTACAGACAAAATTAAAAAGAAAAACAGAAACAGACAGGTATGCTTATATCTCTCCACATAGATTAAATTCCCTTGAGCATCATTAATGTTAATACTAATATATGTTAATGGGCTATTCACTCTTACTATAGAATGTTACTGTAAAAATAAGCTGTCGACACAATACTCAGTTTTACCAGAGCTAGTAATTGGATTTGGAGATTTCAATATAAATAGTATACAGACTTAAGAAAGGTTTGAAAAATATAGATAATCCTATATGGTTTGCACAGTCAGTTCCATCATGAAAAGGTAGAGCTTTTTAATCCTTTTCATTCGCTGTCAAAAGGGTACCTTGACTTTCTTTTATTTTTAGAAGACCTTGAGACAGAAGATGAAAAATCCAACGTTTTATACTAATACACTGATGTGCTGTGTGCTGTATTTTTATGTCAAATGATCTATTCTCGAAGGACTGCTTCACTTCTTCCTTTGAAGAGATATTTTTCTCCATTCAGAGAATAAAAGGAAGCAATATATTCTTTTATAGAGAGCATTATTCCCAGAGGACCTGTTATCATCTGAAAAAATGGAAGATATTAAGGCCACTCCCAATCATCTGTTTATTCTCCAGTTTCTAGATTCACAAGTTATTGTTATTCTACTGTTTTAAAAGCTTTATTGAAAAAGAACGCAAATGGGGATTGCTGCTCTCTCATGCTTCTTTTGAAAGTGAGGAGACCAACAGCTTTCATTTTCAGTAGGAAGTATTTGCAAGCATTATGGGTAGTGGATGCATTTGTTTTAGCCTCTGAGAGAAGTCATCTGGGATGCAGATACGATCTTCTTGAACTGACTGATAGACTGTCATGAAATGAATAGGTTTGTGCTGCTCCAGTAAGAGAAAGCTTTTGCATGACAGAATTTTTAACTGCAATTCTGTTTATTCTCTAGAACAACTGCAAATATTAAAGGCAGAAGTAACAATAAGACTTGTAAAGAAGATTGTTTCCAATATAATATTCAACATGTCAAAACCTTTTAACTTTGATTTTTATTTTCATAATCATTTCTCTCAACAGTTTAATTTTTTGTTCTCTGGGAAAAAAACCTGAGTTTCCCATTTTGCAGTTTCAGAGCAAAAAAATGAATTATTATAATACATACTTTCTACCATTTACTCTGATACTTGCTGGAGAGATTCCAAACAGTAGTTTGATTTAATAATCCAGATAACAGTGGCTCTTACCATATAAAATTGCCAATAGAATAGATAAGACAGTCATAAAAAAGAAATCAAATGAAGTGCTTTGAATAGACTAATTATGTACAAGAGTCAGGAAGAAACTTGCCTCGTACTCAGTAAGATAACTGGATTATGCTTTCCTCTAATGTGATAAACCCTAAGTAGAACTGATGACAAGAAATGAGCCAAGATGTGCAACAGCTTCTTCATATGACATTTTCTCCTATCCCATTCCCATGTTAAATGAGATAGATGAAACAGGGGAATGTACAGTAGTCAGACACTCACTTCTTATTTTTTAAGACTGAAATGACACACCCTGGAAAAATGGAAAGACTCTGAAAAGATGAAAACTGCATCAGTATATATTGTGTTACTAAAGCCAAACAGCACCTATTTTCACAGAAGATGATACATGAAATTCTAAATTTTTTCAAAATCATACTACAGTCTTAATTTAGGAAAATGATCTTAAAAGAGGTATAAATGTTTCTGCTGCTCTTTAAAGATACATCCGTCATTAGAATTCTCAATTTGTGGTCGCATCATGGAATATACACTTCAGTACTGATTTCAAGTTAAAAGCCTATAATGCTTGTACGCGACATTCTCGTTTTAAATTATTAAGTGTCCAAAATCTATCTCTTTTCACAATTTTTTTTTCCTAAGTATTTTTCCAAAATTGTGTTTTGAGTCAGAAAAATTTCTGTATGTCAGCACCCCTGACAAAGTACCTTGCACTTGAGACAGTATTTCCATTATCCTATACTCTTTTGTTAAAAGTGCCTTAGGCAGAAGTTCATGCCTGTAGCCTATTTAATTACAGTTAAAGTACAGTAAAAAAAACATTTATCTGACCTTTCACTCTTCTCACAACTATTACTCTTTAGGAAAATGTATTTTGTTGGAGGATAATTTTTCCTCTTCTCTTGACTCAACTGGATCTTCTGGCACTCAGCACTTTGATCATTGACTGCCAGCTAAGCCAGCACTAATTTTCTAATTTGTCCTCTACTAAAAAAATCTATTTCCATAGGCAAGTAAATCTTACATACTAAAACACTGACTTACTACGATGTTTTCTTCACTGTATTTGTTTTTTGGCATTTGTATGCCTCTTTGTTCTAGCTCTTGTAAAGATTTCACTATAATGCTGTCAATGATGTCATCCAGTCTACCTCTTCCTACTAAACCTCTCTAACAGTCATCTGTTATAATGAAATTTTATCACATGAAATACCATTAAAACAAAAAATCTATTGGTTGTGTTCAGATTTATGGTTAAAAAAATAATCAATAATGATAATCAAATTCTTTCTGCAGAAGTTCAGTTTATAACCCATAAAATAATGTCACAATTTATACATTTGGTGCCCCCAAATTTACAGTATTTTTTTTTCCTAATAATGATAATCTGATTTCATTGAAAGAAACTTATTTCATGACATAGAATATTGCCAGGACTGTATGTTGGTGGAAGAAGAGAGACAAAGGCATAGAAATGTAGACATGTGTTTGCATTATTTCCTGGATAGGCTACTGTTATTTCCTCCTCATAGTCTTCCCAAAGGAGTTTTAACCTCCCTAGAATCTTGCAGCTTGACTCATCATTACACATAATCTTTCCCAGCACATCACTTCCATCTTTTTAGAAATTTTGGTTATATAACCTTGAAGACACTCCACCAGATTGACAAGAGATGACATTAGCACTTTCAAAATACAGATTTAAGGACTGATATCTACACATCCCACTTGTTTTTATAGTTTTTGCATTTTGGTAGGAGATTAATTACAGGCATATTATACAGCTGTGGAATTCATTACAAGCCAAAGCTGATATTTTTTAATCATCTGTAGGCAAAGTCAAACTCTCCTTTCCTGCTTCTATAGTGCTGTAGTTCAGGATAGAACTTGTGGAAATAAATAGCTAGCAATGCTTTGCATATATCTCTTTGAAAAGCTAATTTACCTTTGGGACACAACTATGTAATAGTACAGTAATATACACCATATTTCATCTTCCAAGTACTATACATACAACCCTGTGAACTAATACATAAAAGTTGTGTTTGCACATTTTTATAACTTGTACAATCCATTGAATGTCTGTATCTGTACTAGTTTTACATGTATGTTAAGATTCTGCTTAAAGTCACAGGCAAATTCTGTATCACAAAAGAGATATTTAATTATTTAGGCATCCAGTAGATCATGCATCTCCATCACTATTAACAAAGAGCTACGTGAAAAGTGACTTCCCAAATACCTTCCTAAATATTCAGGGTCATTTAATTTTACTACAGAATGGAAGTTTTTCTCTAAAATTTGACTCACACACACCAATACCACTTTCAAGCTCCTCAGCAGAAAGAAACATTGATCACTTGTGTTGCACTAGGAGGTGCTGGCTTGTTACAACCCCAGTAAGAAAAGCACCCAGACTCTGTAAAGTATCTCTTAAAATGCTATTTATTGGAGCTAACACTATCAAGATAAATAAGATAGTATCAATAATCTTACATCCCTTCAGATGCTGGGAATCCTGAGCAGTGTGGAATTGAACAGGCCTCCAGCCAGGCACAGCACACCACATAGATCCCATCCATGGAAGGTTACCCCATTTTGGTCATTTGAGTTTTTATAGGATTTTCTTACAAGCAAAACTCTATTCATCATTTATACTGTCAAATAAAAAGAACATTCACATGGGAACTTGCTGCTGAAGTTTTAGATAAAGGCAAGGACACGCAGGTTGTGTAATCACAGGTACCAAGCAGAAGCTGCCTGTTAGCTCCTCCGTTACGATAAGCTGACAAAGTTTATCCTGCAGCAAAGGGATATGCACAGCACAGGCCCCAACATCAAACTATATGCACAGCACAGCACAGGTCTGCACTTAGGTTAACTGCTATGTGGATTTCTACCTCCTTGATGTACAATGGTCTTCCAGGTAGGATCACTACAGCATCTTACATTTCAGTGGGATATACATTCTTTAAAGTAAATTGAGTTCACTGACTAAGTCACAGGGCTGTAAAAAAAGCCAGTTAAACTGCATACCTGTCAGCACCACCGTGTGTTCTCCACCACAAACAACCTTATTAACCTTTTCCATAATACCCAGTACAGGCTGTGGGACTCTACTGTTCTTCAGCTGTTCAGGCAATAATCCCAGTTTCCCATTCTCTGGTTCTCCAAAAGTATAGAGCTCACCATCTCCTGTGAAAATACAGAACAGAGCAGGATTTCCAGCACGCACTCAGAAGTAAGGCTGTGTTGTCAAGACTGCTGCAGATCCAAATCAGTTAGACAGAAAAGTGTATCAACATCACAGGATAACTGAACATACTTGTATAATGTCCAAACAGCTGTGCAAAGTAGTCTGCTTTGATGGGACAAGAAAAGGGATAAATTTTAGCCCCTCTCCAAGATGAGAAAAGCAAAATTTAGCCTGCAAGGAATCTAGCCCAGGGAAAAACAAAAGCATATACATCCTGCTTCTGAGATGCTTCTGAGAGGTTAGGATTCCCTCTGTAATCAGTGCTTATGTCAACTGAAGTTGCTTGCAAGAATCTCAAAAGAGAAAATCATTTTGCACGGAATTTTGATGGAAAATCCACACTTTCTTCTTGTAAGATATAGAGAAAAAAAGAATAAAAGCAGATTAAATGACACAAAACTGTGTGTGGTCTGGACAGCAAGAAGAGAGCTGTATATTCAACAACAGTGTATATATCAATAGCAGTGGTTCCACAGCAATAACCCCAACAGAATTAACTTAAAAAAATACTGAGAGGTCTTTACAGATCTCTTCCTGTAACTTCATCCTGATCTGCTACATAATCATACAAGATGACCCTTCTCGTTCACCCAGACTTTTTAGAAATCCAGTTCAAATTCAGTCCCAAATTTGGGTAACTCGTCTTATTTTCACATTTCCTTTGTTTTATCTTTTCTAATCACTACCTTAGCTTTTTCACAGCTATGTAAGTCTGAATGACCATTCAAGACAGCATTCTATATATCTTTCCACCATAGTTAAAAATGGAACATGTAAAAAGTACTTTCCATTCCTAAATTTGCAATTTATCTACATTTATCTACTTTTTTCACATTTATCTACATTTTACATTTATCTACATCCTTTTTAAAAAATTTATCTACATTTCTGATTTTCTGTGCCAAGGGGCCCCCAACTATTCTACTATTCTAGTAGGTCAGAGTGAGGTTTAGGTCCTTACTGCCAGGAAAGCTTCAAGTTAATAGCTGAGTGTTCCCTACTCCTCAAAAGACTATCTATGGAGTAGCGACCTCATAGCAAATGTGTCCCACAATCTGAATTTGAAATTACTTACAAAAGAAATCATCAAACACTGTTAAGTAAGAAACAATTTAGTTTTTAATCCCAGTTGGATATAACAAAGCACAAGGATAAACAGAACTCTCACACGGAGCTAGGCCAAGATAAAGAAATGTTTAAACTAGTGTAGGAGCTAAAGGAAATTCGAAGAGATGGCGACAGTTACATAATCAACATAAGAACAAACCCCAGACATATACTCCATAATTAAAGCTCAGTCATCAGAAGCACCCATCTGCAATATTTCTGGAAACATGCAGATTCGTACTTCAGTACAAAATGTACTTTTACTTTCAGACGGATACATTCAGTGTTCACAAATTTACTTTCACAGCATTTAGAGGCATTACTATTGTATGATACACAAGTATCTGAGAGATTCTTCTTCAAAAGCAACAAATTCCTTGCCAACACGAAAGTTGGGTTAACCCTAGAAATGCTGGTCTTTCCCCACAGACAATGAAAACAGATGAGCTCAAAGAAAGTTTCAAAGCTTAAGCCTTATTTAGGTGTTCAGGATCGACCATTAGAGAAGTCCATCCCTCTCTCAAACAAACATATGCAGAGCATAAGAAAACAAGCTTATTACTAGTTTTCTGTTATAACACATTTGTGAATATTCTTCCATTTGCACAGCTGCTACGTTTGTTGCTTTTTCCTTGCACTTTGTCAGCTGCAACTTAAAATTTGAGAATTTAAGGACAATGGCAACAACCAAAAAAATAGGCTGACACAGAAATAGGAAATATGGGAGAGCTAAAAGTAAACCTATAAATAAAAATGTGAAGTAGAAAAAATGAAGCTACATATGCATTGCAAAACACAAATGAGATTAGTCAAATTATTAAAATCAAGTTAATAAAAATTGAAGGATATAACTCAAAACCAAAGTTTATTAAAACTTGGGCATACCAAGCCAAGAGAGGAAAGGAATTTTATCTTTTGGAATTTTTAATTCTGAACATGAGAAAGTCAAAACTCACGTCAGTAAGAAATGTGTCGTTTTTATTGAATCTTCCTGAGCTTTACTCTGGCGCACTCATTTAAAATTGCTTTTGCATGAATAAAAACTGAGCAAGAGTTTTAGGTTGCAAAAATGGATCTTCATTTTGTGTAACTATGGGACAAATAGTTAGGAATACATTTTTATTTAAGTAATCTGCTAAATCCAATACAGAAACTAGATTCAAAATGCTTTTCCTGGAAAACTCTTTTCCCAACAACGTATATATATTTTTTTCTTTGTGGCACTCGGCTCTCGATTACTTTGTGCTAAAGAATGACTACAGCAGTCGGTGCATAGAACAGAGCAGCACAGACTGCTCTTGCCAGGACCCACCATCAGCAGGGCTTTGATTCATTCTGAAAACCTTTAAACTACTATGTCTTTAAATAAAGCAGTGCTTCTCCTCCCATCCTCTCAGAGGAAGTAATTCTGGAGCAGTCATGCTCATTTGTGACGTATGTTAAAGGTCTAAATTATCAGCTATTTTCTTCAAAAGAAGCCTGTGGATAGCTTTTCAATGAATTTTAACTATAGGAGAATCTGAATTATGTCTCTTATTTTATGGTAAAGTCCATTCAGGACAAAAAAAAAAAAGGGGGGGGATTACGCATTTTTTAAGATACCTCAGCTTCAAATGTATTTAAAAGCATCAATTAACTTGAAAATTATGAAAAAATGTATTACAGCAAGAACAAAAACTGTGAAGAGGACTTTTTTTCATAAAAGCCAAATTCCTGCTTTAAAATGGAAAATGGGTCCTAAGCCTCAACATAAAGTTGCAACCCAGCATTTCCACCAAAGATTTAGAACCTAACTTTGATGGTATACTATTTATTTGTAAAACTTACAAGATCTAAGAAATTTAGCCTCTGCCTTAGCCAAAGAAACCCCAAACTATTTTATATGGTTTCTATATTTTTCAAGGTCACTTCTGCCTCTTGCAACAGCACAGATTCTTCAAGTACCATGCTGCTGGGCCACTAAGGCTAGCAACTGGACTTACTGTCTTTACTGAATGCTCTAACTGCACAGAGAGGCAATCAGGGAATGACAATAATACAATCTTACTTAAAGTCAAACTTCCTGCAGCATTTCACAGGGCTCGGGCAATTACGAATAGTCACCTACAATCTATTCACAGAGGTACATTCTCTCCAGCAAGACAAAACAGGACAGCAGCTCTATTTCTCACCTATCATCATCTGAGGTGTAACTCCATCCTCCCAGCAGTCCTTATATTTTCTATCATTTTCACATTTTCTTTCCTGCACACACAAACTATACACCAATAATATTATAACAGTTCATTTGCCTGCATGTATCTGTGCAGAAATACCTTTGTTGCACTCTTCTACACTTCTTTTCTAAGAGGTGTTTTGCAGTCATTTCAATCTGCCTGTGTTTTAAGAAACAGCAAATTATCTCAGCAGCAGCAAAGTGTATTTCATTTCAAAACTATGGTCTGTGTTTAGGCTTCTCTGTTCAGTTTGATTTTCTGTTTTAATTCTGAATTCTTATATCTAGTATAGACATAGCCTGAACAGGCTGATATTTTGCAGTCATTTGCAGCAGCATCCATTTTCTGTTCTAAAACAGTAGCCCAATTAACAACAAAAAATCAACTGCAATGTGAGGCTTTCTGTAACCATTCAATGGACAAAAAGAGATTTTATTAGGGATTCTAAGTGAAAAGAAAGGAAAAAAAACAACAAAGAAAGAACCCTGTATTTTTTGGAAGGTAAGTATTGTTTTAATACTCATGGATCTGCCATATATTTCTAGAAACAAGCTGATAAACCCCCAAAAGCACTTGGGAGTTACCTACTTATGCAGTTCTCTTTGAAGAGATCAGCACTTCTTTTTAAACACTACTGCACTGCAAATATTAATCCAATCACAATAGAATTAATAGAATTAGAGATTCAAATGGCCAAGCTTCCACTGACTTCCCAAACTAATCGAGTTTGTTACATTTTTTCAACTTAATCCAGCTAACAAAGATAAACCCATTTATTAAAGCAGTTTTAGAATACATTACACATTCCTTTAAGGAAAATAGAAGTCTAAAAACTATAAAGAATAGCTACTAAGCTTAAAAAGAATTCAGTCAAACCCAGATAAATTTTGAGAACAGTATGTGTGCAGTACATCTGCATTTTAAGGACAGTCTGTTCACCTGGTTATTTCATTTTTTCCTCTCATGAGTCACATTCTCATGTGTTGAAGCTTCCCTAGTGTGGCACCTTTTCTGTATCACTGAACTTTGGGTCAGAGGAGCAGGTCAAGGAAATGGGCAAGTGAATGGAAAACTATCTTTGCTTATCAAAAGCAAATGCACATACTGCAGATGAAAGAAGATATGAGACCTGGCTGGTGGCAAATGAGGGCAGTAGACAAAATAATTGGACCACTCTATGATCCCTTAAATAAATGAAGGGGAAAAAAAAAAAAAAAAGTATTTATTTAAGACCAAATTGGTTGAAACCACCTAAACTGCTGAAATTCTGAGCATAGAATTGTTTGTGGAATGGATGATCTTTAAAATTGGTGCTTAAAAATAATGACAAAGTACATTTAAAAAAAAAGAATTTGAGGAACCTGCAAAGCTCTCTATGAAAAGACATTGTCTCAGTGAGAATCTATCTCAGTCTTGCTTATAGTAATAGTTCAGGCAGGGGAAACACCAGAAGAGGTCTAATATATTCAGCTCCCTTCTGGCTCCACAAATACAATTCTGCTGTGATCATTAGTGTAACAGTTAGCTACATCGGCTTTTCCTGCTCTCCACCTCCTCCAGTGGACAAATGAGTCACATGTGCTTGCCAAGCTTAATGCTGTCTGAAAAACTGTCCCCTCTTGAGTGAGTGTGGTCAAAGATTAGTCAAGTGAAGATCTATATATGGACACAAAATCATTGCTACACTATTTCAGCTCTTTCTTTCTCCATTGCTTTGTTTGAGACTTACTTCTAATATGGGAACCTAACATCCCAAATCTGCAAAAAGAAAGGAAAGCTACACTTGCAAAAAGTCCTTAAAGAGGGCTAGAAACTATAAACTAAAAACTTTGAAGAATGCAAAGTGAGAGGAAAAGGGAGCAAACAATCATCTTTCAAACATGAAGTGAGTAATCAGGCCAGCTTCCTAATTTGTGTATGGAAATGAGCCAGCCATTGCCTGCGCTTCTGCCCAGTCTAAATTTCATAAGTGTTTTTGTTATAAATTCAGATGATTGAATGCTGTACAATGTCTGTAAAACATGCTTTTACCTGCTAAAGGTTTCTGTCAGGATTCCACTCTACTTTCATTGACATTGCACTTGGCTTTACAGCAGGTAAACATCTTAAAGACAAATGCCTACTAAAAAATCTTTTGTAAAACCAGCTGTTTCAAAGAAAAAACAACTGTAGTTTAAAAAAAACCCAAACCCAGCAGCCTGGAATCCATACTTCATCACTTTTTTTCTCAATAGTCTCTTATTAATGAACATCCTGCCCTGGAGAGGGCACTATGTGACCACACGACGTATTCTAGTATCCTCATTACCCACCTTTTAGTTTTAACCCAGATACGCCTGTGATCCTAATGGTTTACTTAGCCAGGATACACCTTTTATCAAATGTAAATATATTAAGAAAGGGAACCATATGGTGCCATGCCCATCAGTTCAGCCTGGCAACATTTATCAAGTCCTACATCCTGCAACTATGTTTTATTATTAAAGACAGTATATTATTTGATGCTTTTTTATGTATAAGTCATGTTTAAAAAGGCAAAATGTAGTAATTCCATAGTATTCTAATAACTGCTAAGTTACAGGTGTTAAAAGCTTTACACTAGCAGTGCTTCTACCATTCTTCCATAGCAACAGCAACCACAATCTAAAGAAGTTCCTCTGGTAAACTTTATTGATGTTGAAGGAATTAATACAGATTATACACTCACCCGAATAGTTCCAACTTCATTTCTGGAAATACAGAACTACTTTCTTTTCCACGTATTTCCTCCAAAAGTATATATTAAATTAACAGTAATCATACCAAACTCTAGTATACAAGATGAAACCATACAATAAAAAATACATGGAAAACTCCCTGTGCTAGGCAAACTTTTAAACATACTTCAAGGTATAATTCAATGACTAACTGGCAATTTGGCAGAAAAAACCCTATCCCTGTAATATGAATATTCCAAATACTCCAGAATTACCTAGTTTGCTATGTTCTACCACCCTTCAGGGGCAGAATATGAGGATGTGAACCACTGTTCTAAGCCCATCTAGCAAGTCCTACAGGCAAGTGTTTATCATAAGTGAAAAAAAGAATCCTAATAATACTAAAAAAATCACCTTTTTAAAGAAAAATCTTTTAAAAGCATAGTGCCTTGACTTTCTTCTTAACTAGGCTTTAAGAAAAATAAGGTAACTACATTTTTACTCTAACAGACTCAGTGTGCAGAACTTCCAAAGTCATAATGTAATGGCTATCATAGCTAAAATAATGTGTGACTATGGTACACTTATATTAAATGCATAAGCTTTGTTTTTAAACACTGTCTGGATATACACTGACAGTAGTACAACAGAAGGTCAAGTCAATAAAAGTATCAGTCAAATAAAACTGTCAGCAAGGACTCAAAGGAAAATAATAAAAAAAATATTTCTCCCTTTACCACAAGAGAGGCCATCCACGTGTCAGCAGTTTCAGCGAGACAGACTGAAGCTCAATTTGTGCAGGATTTGCAGATAGTAAAGTTGAAAATTAAAATTTTCCATCTCACAACCAGGCCTGTTTAAACAATATCAGGTTCAACAACTCCCCATTTTCACAGGTGATAAACCAGTTCACCATCTTATTAATATTTTAAAAGGCTCCATTTCTCTTACCCAGCTGATACCCTCATCCTTTTTTCTCATCCCCTTCCATTAAAAGTTTAAAAGTTGCCACTTCCTTAGAGCACCTGGCACACACTGTTCTCTCCTTGCTCTTAGATGCTCATCCTCAACCCTTCTTCTAATGACAGCTTTTATCACATCCCCCTGCAGTCTTGTCAGAGCTCCAGCTCTTGGCTCTAAGGCAGAAATACAAACTTTCTTACTATAGATTTGAAGTAAAGATTTTTTTTTATTATTATTATTATTTTGAGTTCAGGAAGCTGTAGATTTCCTAACAGGTTTTAAGCTCCTGATCAGTTAGAGGCACTTCATTCATTTACTGTAATAAAGCATCTGTAATAAAAGTTGCACACTATCAGCATAACAGCTAATTAGTATTTGTTCACCATAGGAAGCTCTTGTTCTGTTAACAGCATATTCTCAGAGAGCTATATAGATATTCTACACAGAAAAGTAACAATTATCAACTAACCTGAGAAAAGTATCTGATGGAATAGTTCCTGGGTATCAATTAAAAGCTTTACAATAAAAATTACTGATCCTTTGAAATCTTTTAATTACTCTGAGGGGACTAAAATGTAAAGCTTAATAAAGTAAATCTATTTGGGTGAGAGGAATTAATGGCTGCTCATATATAATACCATCAGTACTGACTCATAAATTCACCCATACTGGCATTATTAAAAAATTAGTGGCATCATCACTTTGGAAACCAACAGAGAGATGGGAAGAGAGAGGTGGAAAAGCAACAGAGAGGTTGCAACTGACTCACCGTAGTGTATGCTTCTCCTCACATCATATACTATCTGCTTAACTGACTTCAAAATTTAAAATTTAAGATATAACATCAAACTTTGACAACCATCTTGCACTGCTAGCAAATTAGATTAATTTTTCCTCAAAACATAGTAAGTCTATTAAATATTTATATTTCTAGAGAAGATGATTACTTGATCATCACAAAAAAAATGAATAATCTCAAGAAAAGGTGGATTATTGAAACCGTAATATTAATCCACAACATTTGTCATCACCTTCATGAAAATGAAGTGTGGCAGGACAGTCATTCTTTCTAATATACTTTCGCACAACAATGTGCAAATGCAGAAAATTAACTGCCATTTTTTCTCAATAATAATATATAATTATGTAGTAGATTACATACAAATTTCTCAAATAAATAAATTAAGATCATATTTTAGAGAACCTGTCTCTGGTAACATCTCCCAGTGTGATACAAAACTACACAGCTGACTTTCTGCCACAAGGAAGTTTTTAACAACTATGGCATATCTAGTTTCAAAAGTAATGAATGCCTCATTAGCTACCTTTACAAAGACAACAATTTGAGAACCACTGCCTTGTCTCCACTAACTGCTATTCCCATTCTCTTACCTGTTATCAAGGCAGAGTGATAATATCCACAGGATACAGAGGAAACAGGTTTTCCAACATCCACTTGACATGGGACACTGACACAGGCTTCATGAGCCAAGCCAATCTGACCTTCTGAATTGTCACCCCATACAAAAAGCTGCCCATCCTCTAAAATGAAGACACAAATAGGTAACAGATTTAAAACCAAAACTAATAAAAAGTTAATCTACCCATTTAAGAGCATTTCATAAATTCTGCGTATGATACTAGTACACGTCAAGATCTCAGGGACATAAAATGGTACTTAGCACAATGCAACAAAACAGTCTGAAGTAAGAGGGTATCCCTTAAACTTTTCAAAAGTGACACAGAAAACTTAGTTATCAACTGATGGTAGGCCTTAAACAGTAACAGGAAAAGTCCTATGTAGAAACATTCCTCCAAAAAGAGGAAGATTAAGTATATAAGATGATTCAGCTGCCAGAGATCAGTAAGAAAATATTACAGTGAATTTAATCTTCTAATTTCTAGTAGCAAGTCACCACTTTCTCATTCTTCCAAACTCATTCTCTGTTCTGACTTTGGTACACAACCCACTTATTCTTACCTTATCTTTTAGTACTCTTCAGAGGTGATTATACTGCCCACCTTCATTTTGCTTGCCTTAAACTATTACAATAGGTGTTACAGGTTAACTAAGACCAGTCTCTATTGACACAAAGACCAATGGCATCAGTAAAAAACAAAAAAAGGTAGTGAACAACATGATCTGTCTAGAAGAGATGAGGTATTTTCTCTGCATATTTCTTGTTGGTGGGAAATAAGTTGTGAATAAAAAAACCGTATCACCTACAGCCCTACTGAGATGCCACTGGGAACTAAAATAATTAAAAATTGACTTACAAATCACAGGAGAATGTTAGCAATTGTCACAAAAAATACAAACCAAATGAGCAGTATCTCTCTCACACACTCTTAGGTTCTCTGTCACATTCTGAAGTGACAGCCTCAATAACTTATCCTAAACATGTACAGAAACAGCTGCTTTATAGCAAAACTTGAGAAATTACATTATAGGGTAACAAAGGACCGTCCACCCAATGGCTGTAAGTATCGTATCTGTGTGGACTTCAACATGTCGCAATTGTATAATTTTGCCATCAGAGAAACAGGTCTCTGGTAGGTTCGAATCAGTGACAACACAGCTGTGTAGCCTGTACCAGCAGACCAAAAGGGTTGCAGCATTAAATGGAATTAGAAAAACTTAGTTTTCGTAAGATTCATGTTTTGTATCTGGCTTCCCAGGAAATGAACTGAAGATTTTTCCCATTTTGAGGGTATTCATACTGTTTCTCCTTTGCAAAGGACTCCTACTAAACTAGCACAGGTTGAGCTCCTATTGCAGGCCATTGCTCATGGAAAAGGTCTACTTTCATAGACATTGTAGGAAGTTAATGAGACTGCCACTGCTTGCAAGATTGTGTTGAAACAGACAACTGGCGATCAAAAAATGACTATGGTTACTAGAGAAGGAGAACAGGAAGGCACAGAAAACACACCCACATATGCAGACAGAATGCTGGAATAAATGTTTCCCTGGAACACCAAGCTGGACACACACAAATGGATTTATTAGCGGTTGCTCTTACCAGTTACTGCTGCTGAGGTGTATGATCCAGCTGCTAGCTGTTTAATCTTGTGCTGGGTGGTAAAAAAACTAATTAAATGAAACGTGGTCCTTTCCTCTGTGTCACCTAATCCCAACTGACCTTCATTGTTACCTCCAGCAGCATACACATTTCCTTTTTCTGCATACAGAAAAGCAGATGTAACACACAGAATGGAGACATTCTCATCAGTGGTAAAAAGTCAAAGAAAATGGAGCAAGTCATTTAATTTTCAATGGAAAAACATTACAGAAAAGTTGGGGTCTACTGCCCTGAAATATCCTTGAGTTGACATTAGCAGTTTCACGCTTGGATCAGAACTTTCTAAAGGCCTTATATGCACTTAGACTGACTGTTTACCACCATTCTGGAGACTGATCTAAAAAGTAAACATAATTCGAAGTTCTGCGAGAGTCCTCAGAAAATGACTACTAGTAGCCCTGGCAGCCAGAAGCAGCTCTTTCCCCAAATAATATATATTTTAAGATAAAGCAGGAGGAAAATGGTGAATGGTGTCACAGGCAAGAAAACTGAAGTTGTATTAGTACATAAATTAAAGAGATGTATAACTTGACAGTCTGGACTACTGTGAACGAAATATATTTTTGCTTAGCCTTTTATTAGAAATATTTACTCATTTTAATATTTAAATCATTTTTTTATTTAACTAACTAGTGTTTTATTTTGTTTTAGAATCTTAAAATTGAAGTTAAAGCTGCTGATTGATAGCTTCAACTTAAGAGAACTTTAAGATTTATTTTTTTTAATTTTAGTATGTTTCACATCTAAAGTGCTCATCTATGATGAAAAAGACAAGGCCCATTCATAACACAAATCCAGACACAAATGTGATAAGCAACTGACATACAATTTATAAATGGTTTTTGCTTTACAAATGGCCACAAATTATCTAGCCAGTGTGTACACTAGAAGTGACTAATATTTACGCTGTGCAGTCTCACATACTCAAATGTTGTTAAAACATTCTGGTTTATTCTAATAGTCTTATTTACAGTGCTCAGGGTCTCCACATAAATAAACCTACTAATAATCAAACAATCCTCTTTATAACATTACTGCAAACTAAAGGATTGCAACCACAAAGATGGCTATTCCATTACCTAAATTTTAGAAGCATGACAAGAATTTGCATCAATTCTCTGTATACTATCTCTGTAGAAATTTATTATTTAGTTTAAAATTACAATTTATTTATTTATAGCTTAATAAAGCAACGTGTCATTGAAATAGCAGACTACCTTGTCTAACCAAAATGCAACAAAATTCGAAGACTTCGAAATGTTCAGTTCTACTATATTTACTCCAAGATATAACTTCACACTAATAAAGATAAATTGTCAAAGGTAAATATGAGTACAGATATATAAAAAATACTAATATACCTTTACAGGGCTTAAATGAAATATTGGTAATTGTTAAGCACACCCTAAATGCCTCCAAGAATTTTTTTCATCTGTCTATTGCTAGCAAACTCCTATATAACATTATTTTATAACTGCACTGGCTCAGAAAAATTCAGCATTCAAAGAACCGGATACCAAACCCCCAAGTTACAACAGTCCCATTTTCATTTATTTTTCCTTCCTCAACACTCCAGGGGTTCCTAATGTAATTGTGCATGAAAGTAAAGTAAGAAAACTGTCTTTAATACGTATATAATATAGGCTACATACCTGTGTAAACTAAAGTGTGGTTTCTTCCACAAACAGCAAGTTTTGTTTTTTCTGGTTTTAAAGCTATGAATTAAAGCCAAAGGGGAGGGAAAAGTTACAAACAAGCTGATAGCTGGTTCAACAACAAAATCTTCTATGCTCTAGAGGAAGCTCTGTTTTTTTTCATATTTTTACCAACAGAATGAATGCAAGATTCATTGCCCATTTGAACCTAGTACATGACTGATTAAATCAGGATTCCTCCAAGATAAGAAAACAAATATAGACCTTAAAAACCTAAAGTTGACAGTCAGGTTAACTTGATGATGGCTACTTCATCCCAGTGCCACATTCCCCAGAATTTATCATTTATGGGACGTATCTCAAAGAATATATCAAGTTGTAGGATAAAATGTATGCTTAAAGCTGTCTTCAGTTTTCATTAACAGTACTATTCTTAACTCCCTTTCATGCTTTTCCCACTATATTAAATCCCTAAAATCATACTATTCTTTTGTCTTCTCATCTCTCTCTTCCTTCATTATGCACAGCTACCTTTTTTGCTAAAATTTTGCTCTGCACTGCTCTCTTATTGATCACTAAACTCAATTGCTAAGGACAGACCTGTCTGGACTAGTGCCTAAAAGTTTTGCATATACAATCTTGTCTCAATTTCACCTCAACGACCGCCCACCCATTGCACGCACTCCTCTGCAGTCTGGTTACTGTGAAAGACTGGGAATGTATGCAAGAGGAGTGAAGAGCTATTTTGGTGAGAAAGAGAGAATACAGAGGTGACTTCTCTCCCATGGCAGGGAGGAAAAAAAAATTCACTGACTTTTCTATCCTCTGCAATTACTTACTGATCACTGCCAACAATTTATCTTCTCTCAGCCATGTCTATGTGCCCTATACAATGCCCTTAAAACAGCATTATTTTTACATAATATATCTTTAATTGCTTTCCCACTGCACCAGTCCATGACAAAGCCAACAACTATCGTCCCTTTCACAAGGCCTTTTTCAGTCCTTCCAAATCAATTTTCAACAGCTCCATAACATTCAGATTAAAGTCCCTTCCACCAAGTCACCAAATAAATCTATCTACTTAAGCATGAACTGTCTCTGGTCTGTCACACAGTCACAAACATAAATTGTCCAAATTCAGGTTGCTGCCTATTCTGTATGACACCTACCACTACAATCAGGCTGGAACCATAACACTTCCAATGCTGGCTTCTCCCTACAGTCTTCATTTGCTGCTTTATATCCCCAAACTCCGCCTCTGACTTCAGAGATATCTTAATTAGCTCTTCAGAAGACTGCTCTCCCTAACCTTCCTCTCACTTAGGCTAATCAATTGTATTTGAGGAGCCATGCTACATTTACAAGATTGCTGTCAATTTTTCATAACAAATTTCATTACTCTATCATCAAGTCCCAGAAGATATTTTCTCAAAAACATGCAGCCACAACCATTTGGCCCCAAGCAGAAACTGAAATGTGCCCTTGCAACCCCATTCCCAAAGCCAAGTGATGACTTAAAGCTAGTGAGAAAAGCTCCAGGACTTTCTCCTGCTGCCTACTGCCAAGAGAAGAAAGATACCCCCCTTGTGACTTTTTTCAATGGATGGCAGGTCTGGTTTGAATTGCTGTCATCTTCTCTTCGTCTTTTATTCTCCATTGCAATTTGACAGTAAAAACAAAACTTGACACCCAATCCATTTAAGCCAAGGTAAGAATCAATCTCTCACATGGCTGACAGAAGATGTGAACCTGAGAGTAGCTGCATTCTCCCTCTGAAGTGAAACAGAGAGAGGAGCAGATAAAGGACAGTAGAATAAACTAAATCAGGAAGAAAAGTGTTTGAACAAGCAGGATAATTTGTTTTTAATAATAAGCTAACAGATCGATCTGCTAGCAGAAAGGATGAGGATAAACATTTAATGGTGAAAAGAAATGTGTTAATGGGATAGATCTGACTTGACATAAGTAAGGAGATAGGGAAAAAGTATTGACTTAGCTTTGTTTGACAAGATAAAACCAGCTAGGAAAGATCAAGAAGGCAACAGTGCAATGAAAACATATTTTACAACACATGAAAGAATATTGGCATTTATTTTACTACTTCATAGAAATATATTAACATTTATACCCTCTCAGGCACTTCTTATACTTGCTAAAAATGCAGCAGTACTCGTAGAAAATTCCTGATAGATTTTTTCATTTATAAAGGTGCTAAGACAAAAGCGATACAAAGGTTACACAATGCTGTTGGAACTCTGATCTCTAACGCATAGCCAACACTGCAGATACCAAGCATCTGATTAACATCACAATGAAGATGTGGTTTGTCAGAAAAGGCAAATATTACTTAAAATGAGAGGCCTAAAAAAAGACAGGATTCTATGTAACTGAAGTAATCTTCAGACATAAAAGTACCTAAGATCTGGAACTGATGGAAAATCAATCAGGGATCCTTTCGAGCTACCTTAATGAGCTTGTGAGGTAATATGCTACACATGATGACTAAAGAAGGCAGAACCAGTTATTTTGTAACTGCATCTTATAAAGTACCTTTTCACAAGGGTCTCCTTTCAAAAAGACAAAAAAAGAAAAAAATTAAACAAACCTTTTACACATGTTGGTTTGCTGACAGTGTTCTTTGATCCTAGTCCTAATTGGCCCCAGTTGTTACTGCCAAACATGTATAGTTTACCATTCCCTGAAAAAAAAAATGCAGTCAGAATCCATACAAGAGTTTGCATACCTCATAAAAGACAAGATGGTCATTCACACACTATGCTATTTATTACTTCCTTTTTAACATAAGGTGTAAGATCAGGCAATTCAATACTTAAGTATAAACAGTAATTCATATCGTTGTAATTTTTCTGTACAAAAGTAGTAATTGCATTATTTAAATAAGAAAACCCCAGCCAGAAGAAGGGACAAAAAGCAGAACAAAAATCCTCTTCTTTAATTACAGCACAGATAAAGTGTTCTTCAGAAAATAAAATGTTGTACTCCTGGACAGACCCTGCTGTTCAGAAACCACAGTATCTATAGCCCACTTATAAAATACCAGCACATTTAACTGAGCACTCACATCTTTTACCCCAAAGACAGGAATGAATAATGCAGCTATATGATTGATACAAACACAAATTTGTAATATTCAGCTTATTTTATTATTTAGGGAGAGCTATTTATTTTATTATTGAATGTCTTCTCTTAAAATGATTTACACATTTGCTCTTCTACAGACCAGGTTTCTGATAAATTTTCAAATGTGTTCACAAATTGTATTGATTTGTTACTCTGCATATGAAGAAGGCATGCATAAAACCACCATGCAGTCAGGGAGTTTGGTACCTAAACACAAACATTAGGTTACAAATCTTCAACAGCAGCAATGCTAGAATCCTGTTTTGGAAACTGGTATGATGTGTCATTGAACTTGTAAGTTTGACCATTGCAAACAATGAACAACTGTTGTAATTCCAAATAACCAGTATTTTTTAAAAAGGATGGCATCTGACCAGATGAAATTTTCATCATCAGGCATGCAAATGAGACAGCCAAAACTGACTACTGACAATACCTTAAAATGAATGCATTCCATTTCATTTTATAAACTACTACTTGGTGTAAAGCTGTGAAGTTCACACCCAAAGATGACCCCTTGCTCCCACAGAAATCTTTGCAAAACCATAGAAACTGATTTGTCAAAAAACCCCCATTTTGCAACTGTTAAAAAGGAGTTTCTTTACTTTTGATGGAGGTCTGCAGAGCTTTGTGAGCTACGCTCCACCACAAGGCTGTCACGTAAATTAACATTGAACCCTAGCCATTCACAGTTACCACACGATCATGATGCGTAACAGCAACTCCACATAATAATACCAAAATATTATGGCTGTTTGTACTTCAGTAGTGTAGGTTCCCAGTGAATGTTCTGAATGTGATTTACAGACACTTTGAAATATGATATTGATATGTTTAAAATATAACAAAAATATTTACTCTGTTTAAAAAACATCAATATCTTTTCTTAAATATAACCATAATTTTTAAAAAAACAACACAAAAACACAACATCAACAACTAACAATAACTAGTATCTAAAGTCCCAATGAAATTGTTAGATTTGACAATTTTTGGAACATCAGGCTATGTGTGTCAATATTATGTCTTTCCAAGAAAGTTGGAAGGGAAGAATATCTGAGGTAAGTCTATGCTCACGGTGTTTTACTAATAGCATTTACATCACCATCCCAATTTTGATAAAGCTATCACATCAAAAGACATCCAGAGCTGTCTGTCACTACGAGCAAAGCACACCTTAACAGAAGGAATTTTTATTAGCAAATGGCATCCTACACTGGCATAGGCTTCCTTGTATCCGTATTTTATACTTCCTAACTGCTTTTATAAGACAGTAGTACTCCTGTGGGAGTATGATGCCAAACTGCCATAATTCAATTTAACCATATTCTCTCTTATCCATTCAAAATTCCAATAGGTCATGTTTTCATCCTATAATCTGCTCTTTCTTATAGCAGTCTAAATTCTCTGGCATTCCTTTGTAAGTCAAGGATCTTAATAGATGAATTTTTTTACATTCTTTACAACTGAGTGACAGCCTTTTATAATTTGAGGCTTCCAACACTTAGCAGTGTAAAGAGAAAATAAGAAACTGTGAAGCATGTAATTCAGACAGTGAATGAAAACCAACAGGCACTACAGAGGAACCTAAACAAATGCCTGTAACGATGCAACATTTCTGGGTCTGTACAGCAAATGAGGTTTTGGAACACCGTGATGCAATCTAAGCTGCCCAGGAAACACGAGAGAATTTGGTATGCAAAAGGTCCTGTTTTCGTAACTGCGTACTGAGATATCTCGTCATCACCACAGATGCACTGAAGTGAGAAATAATTCAACAGCAGACAAACAGGCAAGGATCACATTTCAAAACTTCGCAAACTCAGACTGTTCTTGCCTTTTTGCTTCCACTGTGGTGCTGATATAGAGAGACTGTAGCCATCTGCCATCTGGAATGGCTGGCAGAAGACAGCTCTGGCAGAGTAAGATTATGACTCTGGGCAGCAGAAGGGAAACAACAGGATATAGACAGGGACTACTACGACTGTTTTGGTGATGAAAACACACTTCCAGTGCCAGTCTCCATCTTGCAAGACTGGAGTATTTCTCCACAGCATGTATGCATTGGCTATTACCAGCAGATATTTCATCATTAATTCAGGGCTACTAGGGAAGCCACAAGATGCTTACAGCTTTAGGAAGAGAGGTTTTGTGGGAGACTTCAGCAAGACAGTGTCTCCTAAACAGTACACTTCTCATAGGAGTAGCTGCTACCACACAACTGTGATTCCTGGGGACACCATCTGTCATGTGCTCCCCTGGTTCATGAAGCACTACTAAAGGCATTCATTCGGCACCTGGGAAATACCATCTGAAACCCTCAGCGTGCTTCATGTTAGTATCAGGCAGCCAAGCATCCCTATCACTTATGTTTAAAGGTATATTTTACATACTCCCGTCCTTGCTTTCTAAATTATATTAGTGTGGGAGGCAAATAAAATGGGGAGACAATGTACAGACTTTGAACATTTATTACAAGATTCTGCTGAGAATTATTCTACCTAAAGAAAACATAAAAGGTAGTATTTTGGACAGAATATCATATACCATGATTTTTTTTAAAATTTATTTGTGCTATTCTGTAAATAAACCATGTTAACAGTTAATTTAAAATTCATATACATTCAAATATGTATCACGAAAACAACAATAACACCAGTTTTGTCAGACGAGTCATGATATTCTCAAAATAAAAGCTTTATTTAGTGATAAGAACAGTCACGCTTAGGACATTTAGCATCACACAAATAAAACCAGCACAGTACGTTGCTTGCTCCTACACACATCAAAGATCAACACAAACGTGTACTAATATTTCTCATTTTCCCCTTGCAGTTGATGCAGAAGATAATGTGCCATGTTCTGATGGCCTACTGGTAGGCAGAAAGAATAGAAGGAACCCGGTGTCCAAAGACCTGGAGAGATTCCAAGGTCTCTTTGGTGTTAATTGATGAATGTTTAATGCCTTACAAAACTCAAAATTATGAGCATGCTATCTTGTTGTGGTTCCAAATGCACCTCTTTTCACTCCTACTTTTACACTTGATACTTCTTTCTTTCCTTCTATCCTCTTGCACCGGATATTCTTCAATTCTCTCCAGAGCTCTGAGTTCAGAAAACATGTATTCCGTCATCACGCCTTTCCCCCTTGTGACCAGGATCAGTCTCTTGGATGAAATGTGGGTGAGCTGCCTAGGATACTCTAATCAAGGCAAATAAAAAGTAAGACAGCTGTTAACTTTAAAGAGCTTCACTGAAAAGAAAATTACTAGAAAGGTATTGGGAGGAGATTCTTAAAAATATGTGCAACATCACTTACTTCACACCAGCTCCCAACAGGATGAATAAATTGCTTTCCAAAGCCTGCATTTATAGAAGATGCAGGGAGTGGACTGTTAGTATTCTTGGTCCAAAAACCATAGAAATGGGGAAAGAAACATTATTAAATATATTACAAGTGATGCTGGAAGATATGCTGCTTATGACTGTGTTAAAGAACTAAAGAAGACAACTGCTTAAAAAAAACCTCCTGCTTGACCTTTTTAATGAAGATTGTGCTAAAGGTAGAGAGCAAATGAATAAAGAAACACAGATTTAAATCCCAAACTCAAAAAGGAAATGTTTCTCTTAACTAGCTCAGCAAGCCAACTCAGAGTCAGCAAGTAACTCTCACTAGTCCTTTCTACTCCAACAAGCAGCCACAGTATGTCAATAAATTTCTGGACTCTAACTCCTGACATAGAAAGCCAAAGAACAGAGTGTTTTATATTTACTTTACACTCTTCTTCCTAAAAGTCATATGGGAATATCGATGCTGGATTAGATGAAAGAAGTATTTGAAAATTTCTGAATATTTTGTTTGAATGCTAAATATTAGTGCCTGTAGATTTTCTTCCTTTATATTCAGCCAAGATTCAGCGCTGGATGTAGCTGTCTCTGCTGCCCAAAACCATCTTTAAGGACTGTTTTGTATCAGTTTGGGTGATTGTTTTACTTACGATTGATAAGACATGTTAGTATTAAACTGATATATTTCTATTAGATTTGAATCTATCTCATATTCCCACTGTCCCCTACAGACATAGGTCCCACTACCTCTTCCTGCAGGTGGAAAGAGAAAAAAGGAGGGGGGAATTTTGTGACCTGTAAATAAAGACTGAAAATAAAACGAAGCATGCGTTAACACGCACCTGCTTGGGATACTTTTCCTTCCTCAATGATGTTTGGCTTTTATCTCTTCCAGGTCAGGTTCAGCTGGATTTCAAGAAGCTCCTGGTTTCCCCACAAGGTCTGTACCCTTCTCAGTAAACTCATTATCGGCATGCGCTTCTGGAGCTTTTATTCCAGGTGTTACTGCAGTTCAGTTTCGTTCACCAAGGACTGCAATTCCACTGTATCACCCAACTCCATCTAACAGCAGAAATGCGAGGTGCACACGGGCACACACGGGTGTGAAGAACAAACCAAGGGCAAAGGTTCCCTGTTTCATTTCTTCACTTTTCTGTACGACTCTTGCAGTTTCTTTACCTTTGTTCGTTTCCAGTTAGTATTTTACCCTCACTTTTACTTCTACTTTACAGTCCCAAAAAAACCTTTTGGCACCAAAGAAATTTTGTATTCGTTTCCAGTTAGTATTTTACCCTCACTTTTACTTCTACTTTACAATGTCTGAAAAAACCTTTTGGCACCAAAGAAATTTTGTACTTAAGCTTCTACAGCTCCTTCTCCTCAAAAGCTTCAAGAAAATAAAGATCTGATTATCTAGAAGTTTCTGTGGTGATGTATCTGCACACAACAACAAAGGCCAGCTACACTGACATTTTTGAAACATGCTGCATATAGTAAAATAACAGGGAGAAGGGGAGATAGAAGAGAAGCGGTGCTGCATGCAAACCTATGCAAGTTCATTTCTTCAAAAGCTTGATCTACATGGCCACTATTACAGTACCATAGGAATTAGGGGATGGTTGCTGCTTAGGGTAACAGTATCAGCACAGGCACAAGCTGGGGGAACTCAAGGAGGCAATTTAAATCAGCTAGTGTAAACTCAGAATTATACTAGTGTTATTTCAAACTGGGTGTGAGCATCCAAAAGGATATATAAAAAATTTCAGAAGGAAACTTTCACAGTGTCCCAGATTACATTTTGATGAATTTTATGCAACAGGCCATTTAATAGAACTGGATCAATCCAAGGAAAAGTGTCAAGTTTTTTTCAAAATAAACTCTTCATGGATAATTCCTCTTCTATGAAATTAGGCTTGAAAAATCAAATGTATAATTTTACCTCAAGATATTCTGCAATGTATGAAATCTGTACTCTTTTTTTATCATGCCTGGAATAGTACATTCTAAAAATCCAGTGTCTTCAACTTTGCCTGGGGACACAGCAAGAAACTCTCAAGAAATCATTTAATCAGCAGTGACCAGTGGGGCATTGATGAGGAATAAATACATGCCAATAAAAAAGTCCTGAAAATACACATATAAATTTCATAACAGCAAAGTTTTATTATCTATCAGCAGTTGACTGTCAATACAATTGATGCACATGCTCATCAACAAGATTAGTCCCTTCCACGTAAAATAAATTTAACAAATTCTTCAATAAGCATTGTTTCCATCAGTTCAAAAAAATGAAAACAAGCATTAACACTGCTCACACTATTGCATCTGAGCTTCTTTGAAGCTTTTGCAATTTATTTCCAATTTTAGTAGAATTTTTTTGAGTTGCTTTTTCAGTAATTCAAATCTTCATTTCAGAGTTACAATTTTATCTCTTGTTTCAGGCAGATTCCTAGTGAACTTGTTGACTGTGCTCAACACATACTGTTTATTTCCATAATATAAACCTCTATATTTATAAAGATTGTCTACTGAACAGTGTCAGATTCACAAGAAACATTCAAACTAAACAAAGTCATTGTCCTTACTTTAAATCCTGTATGACACATTATTACAGATTCCCTCATGACAGTTCTTGGGCACATCTTGTAAAAACCTTCAGTGACCTCACACTAACTTCAATAGCATCTGATAGTTCCCACAGAACAGTCCTCTCTCCTCTCCATAACTTCATTTGTTATATTACCTCAGGATTGAAGTAAGAATCATAACTTTCCAAGCTGTCCAAATATATAAACTTTTAACATATACTCCATTTTCAATACTGACCTGTAACAATAGCAGTATGTTCATCTCCACATGATATAAGTACAGGCTTGTCATTTTTGAACCAGAACTTGCTAGGAACATCTCCTGCAAATTTGCTTTTTCCAAATGTGAAAATAGCACCTGATTCTAAAACACAAAAAGATAATGTCAGTTTTAGTGAAAACAAATTTTGACTCATACATTTTGAAACAATAATTTCCTATTAATTCAATTGCACATTTTAGTTTCCTATCTTTTTTCTTTTTTAAAGAAATGGCTAAAGGGTTTTCTTCGGTTTCACCGAGACTACTTCATTTTCAGGCTCACATTTTAGTCCTTCTGATTCTTCTTAGCCTCCATGAATTTCCTAATAGAATAAGTATGGCATATTCTGTTCTGAGGATACAATAATTTATTTTAAAGTACACTAATGTACTTTATCACTACCCTCTAAGAAAAACTACCAGGTGTGTAAAAGAAAGAACAAAGAACTCCAAATAAGTGCTCCCAGAAAGTAAAATTAAAAACTCGTCCTGAAAGCAGGCCGAGACAAAGAGTTCTCACTTACATTTATACTTGAATTCAAACAGGTTTTCCAAATTGGATTAGAGAGAGACACACACACACACACTGTGAAGAGGTCACAGGCTCCAAACTGACCACTCTTCCTCACCCATCTGAAAAGACACATGTGCTCTAAAAATGGACCCCTAAAATCAAAACTCTCAGCCTTCAAAACACGGGTTGGCACAATTGCCTTTGATTATAAGATCATGATCTAAAAAACCCAAACAAAACCACCCCAAAATAAAGTCCAGATAGCTCTTCTGTCTTTCTAATCTGTCTAGTTTTCTCAATTCTTCCCACTTTGGAAAGTGTCAGCAATGTTGTTTAAAAACACGGAATGTTATCTATTCATTCACCTTTTGTTTAGTATGTGGCTTGACACAGGAAATATTAATTCTACAGGAAAATAAATGAACTTACGAGTTAAATAATTTGCCAAAAGCAATGCAGACAATGTGGCAAAGCACAATTATACATCCTATTTTAAGATGTCAAATCTTGTGCTTTAAGCACAGAATCATTTTTTCTGAAAAGAAAACAAAGAAAAAACCAAACCTTTTCCTTGCAGACTTTTGTTAACATGCAAGCTATGATAATACAAATACACACAGTAACACCAGACTGCTTCTGTAAAATTACATATAATTTGATCACAACATTGAAACATCTTTGTGTATTTACTCTCAATTAAAACAATCTCATTAACAGTCTGCAATCCAGCTCCAAAACTCAAAGTTCTCTCTTAAACTGTAAATTTTATATTAATTTTGAAATTCTTTAATGCAAAAGTTTCCCATATTTGCAAATGAGATGCTACTTTGTGCATCAGGCTCAGCAGGCACGTATAAAATTGTATTTACTGCCTCCCTAGTTGTGTTTCACTTTCACTGTTTTATTAAAAGCAAGCCTTGTGCAGGCTAAGTCAAGCTTTTTAAAGAAAGGGTTGAGTTTTTTATCATTTTAGGTAGACACAGCTACAACCACAGACACAGAATCATAGAATCATAGAATCATAGAATCATAGAAT